GAGGTGTTCAAGGGCAGGTTGGACGGGGCTTGGAGCAACCTGGGCTGGTGGGAGGTGTCCCTGCCCAGGGCAGGGCGTGGAACTAGAGGATCTTTATGGTCCCTTCTAACCCAAACCATTCTATGACTCTATGACATATGTGCACACTGCGATTTGGGAAGAGGTCCGGAGTCGTTCATTTCTGGATGCTTCAGATACCCTGAGGAACGAGTGGGAGGTTTCTCTCAGGAATCCTCCAGGCGCTGTGGATGCTCAGCGCTGCAGATGCGGATGCGCCTGTTCCCGGTCGTCCCAGCCCGAGCCCAAAGCCCAGCAGCGCCCCAGTAAAGATGCTCTATCCCTTCTGGCTCTGCAAACTGGAAAGCAGCCCCCACAAAGCCTAACGGGGGTGGCTGCGGGGACGCCGGTGGGTTTGCCTGCCTTCGGGAAGCCGGGATGCGGCTGATGGATGTAGCTGGGGAATGCGGGAGGAGAAGGGAGCGGGGAGAATCCCGCAGCTCCCGCCAGCATCCCCAGGGCTCGTGGCTCAGCCGTGGGCTCTGCCCCGTGCAGCTTGGCCGGCTTCTCGCACCAAACACAGCGTGCTGTGACAGGGGGAGGGAACACGAGGACGCAGGTGACAGCGTTGGCTTCTGTAATGCAGCCCCCTCCGAAGGAAGGGACTGTGGTGTGATGGGAATTTGGTGTGACGCGACTTTGGTACGAAACCCTGGGAAACCGCTCTGCCCTTACCGAAAGTGCTGAAACTGGAATCGTTCGCGGGATAAATCTGAGGACTTTGGGAGGCAATTTTAAGCGTTCGCAGCATGTTTTAGAGCTGCCGAAGGCTACCGCAGCAAAGAACCGGGTGGTCAGCCAGGGGAGAAGCCAAAAGTGCCTCCCGCTTGCCGGGGCACCGTGGCGTGGGAGAGGCAGAGCGCTCCTCGGAGCGGTGGGTCCCTCCGGAGAAGCTCTGTCGTTCTAATCATCACAACGAGGATATTCATTGCATAAAACATCTGGGCTATAACATTAAGCCCTTCGCAGGCTGTGCAGTGGCTGAGAGGAGCTCAGGGTCCCATGGACCTGCCCAGGTCCAGGTGATGGTGGGGCCAGACCAGGCATGGTGGGGTGAGTGCCTCCGAGGAGATGCTCTGCTCGGTCCTGGGCAGGAGCCATGAGCCACAGGAAAGTTTAACAACATCCAGACCGAGCTCGGGAGCTGCAGCCCCGGGCTGTGCAGGCTACCAAAGGGGTGGGATCATGTAAAAACAACCACAAGCGCTCCCAAGACTGAGGAGGAGGAGGATGTGCCACCAGTGGAGAGCTGGGAGAGATGCAGCTCACTGGAACGGCCCGCTGGGAGGGGGAGCACGGCACCCCAAAAGCTAGTCGCTAAGAGCTTTCATTGCATTGCGAAGGGGTGTTAGCAATAATTAATCTGGGCTATAAGTACCGGTATCATTGTAGCCTGGCTAAAAAAAAACGGTTGTTGTCCTTCAACTGGGCTGTCAGAGCCCACATTAGACCGACAAGGAATGCTAATTCTTGGCTCCGGTTTGAAGGTGCGCTCCCTTGGGCTCAGGAGAGGTTTTGGCGATGATCCCCGTGCTCTTCCCAGAAGGGGAGCTGCTTCTGAGAAGCGCCCAGCTGCCCTGCCAGTGCTGCCAGCACTGCCAGCACCACCAGCATCGCCAGCACTGCCAGCACTGCCGGTGCCACCAGCATGACCAGTGCCAGCACCACCAGCATCGCCAGCAGCACCAGGACTGCCAGCATCACACTTTGCTCCTGAAGGGGTGATGGCCCCCCCCGGGGATGCTGAGGTCCAGGGAGCCCTGAGACAGGCAGGGGAGAAACGCAGAATGGCAGAAAGCTGCCAGGAGAGGGAAGGCAGTCCACGAGCAGGTCGGTGTCTCGGGAGGGGTGTTTCTAATCAGGAGTAAACGAGGAGTCATTCACAAAATTCTGCTTGCGAAGCTTCTGGCAAAATCCACTTCCTTTGTGGGGGAAAAAAAAAAAAAAAAAAAAAAAGCAAGATAAATAAAACCAAGGAAGTGGAGCTCTGACGTAGCCGCAGTTACAAAACCCGTCCCGACTCCCCCGTGACCCCACTGCTGAGGGGTGCTCCGGGGACCGGGCACGGAGAGGAGCCAGCAGGACGAGAGCGGGGACCTCCTGGTGACCAGGGGACTTTCTTCTTCACGCAAATAGCCTGGGAGGATCTGCTTCAGGATATGGATCCGAAGGGAGCGTGAGATACCGAGACACCAACGCTGATCTGCTCGAGCCCAGCTGGAGGGACAGCCCTCTCCTGCTGCTTCACCAAAACTAACAGTTAAGTGCAATGTTTTCCTTCATCCTTACCCCACCTTCCTTTCCTCCAGCATCCACCACCAGCACCAGTTCCTCCCATCCTCTCCTGGTGACCGGCAGCGGTCTCCCCAGGTCCTCTCCCCCCTGCCCTGCGCTTACCTGCTGCATCTCCTGGTGAACCTCCCCTCCTCCCCCGTCTCCAACTCCCACCCCACAATGTCCACCGTTCCCCTCCCCAGCACGTCCCGCTTGTCCTCCACTGATGCCTTCCCAGCGCAGGGAGCTGGCGAGGAGCCGTGCAGATCAGCCCTGCCTTCTCCAAGCCGCTAACTCACTGTCCACTCTGACCGCAGCCGGGGACCACATCCCACCACCTGCCCAGCATCCATCCATGGAGCTGAACCAGACATCCCCACCTCTCGCATCGCCCGTGCCGATCACCGATGGAGAAGACACGTGCAGGATAGAGGTCACTGAAATGGCCATAGATGGTGTCACGCTGTTCACCTGCCTCTGCGGGCTGGTGGGGAACGGGGCCATTCTCTGGCCCCTCGGCTTCCGCATCCGCAGGAACCCCATCACCGTCTACGTCCTCAACCTGGCCGTCGCTGACTTCACTTTCCTCCTCTTCGTGGTCACCTGGACCCTCCTCTACCTGATACAGAACGTCTCTTGCTTCATTGTTGTGCCTCTGATGTACCTGAGACCGTTTTTCCTGCTCTCGCTGTTCTCCTACAACATGGGCCTGTACCTCCTGACGGCCATCAGCATCGAGAGGTGTGTGTCCATCCTCTGCTCCAGCATCCGCCGCCCCCAGTGCTTGTCAGCCGTGGTGTGTGCCCTGCTCTGGACCCTCTCCATCACTGTCATTGCTGCAGTCACTTCTCTGTGCCTGTTGCATGAGAATGAGCACTGCCAGATGGCTCTCATCTCCATGTACATCCTCAACATCCTCATCTTTACCCCATCCATGGTCATTTCCAGCACAATCCTCTTCATTAAGGTCCTGTGTGGCTCTCAGCAGCACCAACCCAAGAGGCTCTACATCGTAATCTTCCTCACCGTCCTCTTCTTTCTCATCTTTGGGGCTCCCCTCAGCATCTGGAATTTCCTGCAGCAGTTCGGCTACATCCTCGCGCCCTCCCAGGTGGTTTTCCTGCTCGCCTGCGTCAACAGCAGCATCAACCCCTTCATCTACTTCTTGGTGGGGAGCTGCCGGAGGCACTGCTCCTTGGTGTCCCTCCAGGTCGCCCTCCGGAGGGTCTTTGCGGAGCTGGAGGACACCACCGCATGCAGCAATGATACTACGATGGACACGCTGGCCCCAGCCTGTTGAAGCCGTTCCACTGTTCTGCTTAAGGCCCCCGGGGACAGCGGCTGAGGGTTTCCTTGAGTAACTGGATTAATAAACGTCTGCAGTATTTCCCCCGATGTCCCCCTCTGCCCCCCGCAGAAGAGAGCAGGGCCATCGCCAAGGACCCTGTGGGGAGGGATGCAACTCTCCTCCTCCCATCCAGCCCACCACAGGTCCTCGGGCTCTATTCCCCTGAGGGCAACACGTCCCAGAGTTCCACGTTCCCCAAAATCCCCTACTTTTCGGAATGAACCTTCCCTTTGGGAAACTCTGACTCATGTATGTAGGTGGGGGTAAATCCCATCCGGTGTCCCAAACCCTTCTCCCCACCCCGTGTCCCAGTCTGCGCGGCTTCTCCCAGCTCTGCTCCCCTCCCGTCTCCCGCGGG